ACGAGCTTGCACTTACACGGCACTGGCACGTCGTTGGGTGATCCCATCGAGATCGGCGGCGCGCTCGGCGCGCTTGCAGATGACTCGCGCGTCCTCGTGTTGGGAGCTGTGAAGTCATGGATCGGGCATGCAGAATGCGCCGCCGGCGCGGTTGGACTTGTACACGCGGCGACCAACCTGGCGTCTGCTCGCATGTCAAGTGTTGCACACCTTCGTTTTGTCAATTCGCACGTGGCGAGCGCCATGTCCGTGGCTAATATAACAACAGGACTTCCAAAAACTCTTCAGTCGCACGGTCTTAAGTCACGTGTTGCGGGCGTAAGTTCGTTTGCATTTCAGGGCACGAACGCCCACGCAGTGGCGCACACGGGTGTTGTGCCAAGATTAGTGGCGCCAATTGTGCGTGTTTGCGTGCTCACGGAGATGAGGTGTTGGATCAGTCCAGTTGCGCAAACACTGGTAGGTAGTGTAAAGAGCGCGTTGGAAACCAATACTCACTTCGCGATCTACGCAACTTCAAATGAGTCGCCACTCTTTGTGTCCATGCTCGACCATTGCGTGAGAGGCCGCGCACTTTTCCCCGCGACAGGCTTTCTCGAGGCCGGATCCCAGGCAGGATCTGTAGCCACATCAAATCATGGAATGACCGATTCCATCGCGCTTCATAATGTGGTGATATCAGCCCCACTGATGCTAAAGAACGGCACGCATACAACGGTGATAAGGCTGGACGTTGATGCAGACATTGGGAAGTTTGTCATCAGGGATGAAGACAGCATGAACCCGCAGTGCTTTGGCGTTTTGCATCGTAAATCTCCTGCTATTCGTGATCGACTCAAACATGTTGATCTTTCGTGTGAAGCGTTTGCGGATACATTTGTAAAGCTCACCACGGATATTCAGACTGCATCACACAGTACAGTGGGAACTGCATGCGTAGAAATCGAGGGTCGTCAAACCAACCCCGCCGTACTCGACGCAAGCTTTCAACAAGACATTTGTTTCGGGGGAAGTCTCGATGTCAAACAGACATGCATTCCAGTCCAAGTGTATGCATACACATGTGACACATGCACCACGCGCATCAAGGTGTGGGCGTCATCTTTTTGCCACGACAACGCAAAAGCTGGGCTCAGCGCCGGAACAACTGGCAGTCACTACATTTCGGGGTCAACAATGATGATGTGTGTGGGTTTGGTTTGCAAACCTATGCGATCTGGATCCGCAGTGCTCAGTTATCCAGTCGCTCGGTGTATGCGCACTCAATCTTACGTGGTTAGACGCTTCACAAGACCTACATCCGTTCAAGTGAAAATTCGTGACAGGGAACTGATGGTCCGGGAAATGACAAACATTTATGCAAGCCGTAATATCGGAAGCATGCTGTGTGCTTTGCAGACCATCAATTCGTTTTCATCAAGCCTCGTGCGTGTATCAGCTAGCTCAGTGTCGCAAGCTGCTATACGTACAGTCACCACCGAAAATCCGGCGATACAGCTAGGTATTGACAGTAATGCGATCTACTCATATCGGCTCCTCGAAACGAATCGGAACAGCACATGGACCACCCCTCGCACTTACTGTCGTTTGATACATGATCTTGCGAAAGATGGCTCCGCGTCCGCACTTCCACGATCGATTGTACATGAGAAGGATTACACTCGGCTGGGCCTGTTATCTGTACACACACATCAGACTTTATGGGTTGTGACGGGGGGGACCGGATCGCTCGGTGATTTGGCGAGCAATTGGCTCGCGGATCACACTCCTGGTCACATTTGCGTCACGGGCCGTGCTGGAAAAGTGGCTACCAGACCTGCTGCGATAATGACGTCTAGAGATGGAGTTTGGACGCTTACTCGTAGCGACGCGGGTTTGGTCAATGAAACTCTGCACCTCCAGTTCGGGAAGCTCGAGGGCATTCTTCATGTGTCTGGCGCCCTCGATGATGCATGCTTGACAAACCAAACATCTGGCAGAGTGCGCAAGGTATTTGCTCCCAAGTTGAGCGGTGCAGAAAATCTTCACAGGTTTTCAGCTGGTCTGCACTCGGTGGAATTCACAATATTATTCTCATCAGTCACTTCACAACTTGGATCTGGCGGACAATCTAACTACTCTGCTGCGAACGCGGCACTGGATCAACTTGCGGACAAAGAAGCGCACTCTGGCATCCCAACAGTAAGTGTGCAATGGGGAGCGTGGGATGATGTTGGGATGGTGGCACGCGACGAGCATGCCAAGCGCAATCTCACACGTATCGGTCTGGTGGCAATGTCGCCCGCCGAGAGCCTCGATGCTCTCGGGTCTGTGATGGGGTCAAGCGGTGTGCAAACTGTGTGCCACTTTGATTGGTCTCAAATCGTTCGCTCGCTGACGGATCGACCTTATTGTTTGAACTTTTATGGGGAGTATATTCAGCCAATGAAAACATCTAGCGACGATGCAAAGATGCCATCGATGACTTTGAATAAGGCTTACACGAAGACGGAGTCGGCCGTGTATGAAGGTGTCAGGTCCATTGTCAGAGAGATTATTGGATGCGATGTCGGCATGCAAGAACCTTTAATGGAAGCAGGCCTCGACTCCATCGTTGCCATCGATCTCGCCAACACCATATCGGAAAAGTTTGACCTGAGACTTGCTTCAACACTGGCGTTCGATTATCCGACTATCGCGTTGATTGCCGTACACGTAATGTCAAAGATGCAGGTCCAGACAAGTGTCGAGCAAGTGAAATCCCGGATTGAATTTCCTGCAGAAATCTGGGAAGTAACTCAGATAAACATTAGGTCGACGGCTGGTTACCTGTCGGACATGATGACCGCCCCTATTCATCATGATCTCGTACGTGCAATACCCACAGAACGTTGGGACATCGACATCATCGATGGTCATCTCCATGAAGTCAGGTCACGCATGGGGAATATCATGCCTAACGTAGATAGGTTTGACATCGAGATATTTAGCGTACATGCTTCCGAGGCAACCATCATCGATCCTCAGCATCGAGTCCTGATCATGGAAAGCATTTCCGTGATGAATTCGAATACTGAATGGATTTCTCGAAACACAACAGGTGTATACGTTGGCACCGCATGGACGGAGTACAACTACCATACGATCACATGCAGAACACCCGTGAATGCATACAGTGCAACCTCAGCTGCGCTGAGTGCAGCGTCTGGTCGACTGGCATTCACATTTGACCTGAAAAGACCGGCCCTCAGCATTGACACCGCATGTTCGTCGTCGCTCGTTGCTGCGCATGTCGGCACACGTGCCGTTGGCACGCGGGAATGTGCCGCTGCAGCCATTTGTGGTGTCAACCTCACGCTTCTCGCGTACACAACCGCAATGTTTCAGCGAGCCGGCATGTTGGCCCCCGATGGTCGGTGCAAGACTCTCGATGCATCCGCTGATGGCTATGTCCGAGCCGAGGGCTGCGAGATAATCTTGCTCGCGGCTTCGTCTGATGACGTAACGCAACTAAGTGTCGCACTTGGCGGTTCGGCAGTAAACCAAGACGGGCGATCAAGCTCGCTCACAGCACCAAACGGTCCCACTCAACACGCTGTGATCAAGTCCGCACTGCTTGACGGTCGCTTCTCAGCTTCTGACGTGACGAGCTTGCACTTACACGGCACTGGCACGTCGTTGGGTGATCCCATCGAGATCGGCGGCGCGCTCGGCGCGCTTGCAGATGACTCGCGCGTCCTCGTGTTGGGAGCTGTGAAGTCATGGATCGGGCATGCAGAATGCGCCGCCGGCGCGGTTGGACTTGTACACGCGGCGACCAACCTGGCGTCTGCTCGCATGTCAAGTGTTGCACACCTTCGTTTTGTCAATTCGCACGTGGCGAGCGCCATGTCCGTGGCTAATATAACAACAGGACTTCCAAAAACTCTTCAGTCGCACGGTCTTAAGTCACGTGTTGCGGGCGTAAGTTCGTTTGCATTTCAGGGCACGAACGCCCACGCAGTGGCGCACACGGGTGTTGTGCCAAGATTAGTGGCGCCAATTGTGCGTGTTTGCGTGCTCACGGAGATGAGGTGTTGGATCAGTCCAGTTGCGCAAACACTGGTAGGTAGTGTAAAGAGCGCGTTGGAAACCAATACTCATTTCGCGATCTACGCAACTTCAAACGAGTCGCCACTCTTTGTGTCCATGCTCGACCATTGCGTGAGAGGCCGCGCACTTTTCCCCGCGACAGGCTTTCTCGAGGCCGGATCCCAGGCAGGATCTGTAGCCACATCAAATCATGGAATGACCGATTCCAACGCGCTTCATAACGTGGTGATATCAGCCCCACTGATGCTAAAGAACGGCACGCATACAACGGTGATAAGGCTCGACGTTGATGCAGACATTGGGAAGTTTGTCATCAGGGATGAAGACAGCATGAACCCGCAGTGCTTTGGTTTCTTCTTTTTCTATCATCTTAGCTTCTTTTCATCTCGTTTTCGATGTGCTACAGTTGCTGGCCTTAATGATTTTTCTGAGCTTGACCAATGCATACATACGAACATCGACGCCGATGTCTCATACCTTCGTGCACCTGGTCCCGGTCTTCACAGTGATACCAGCAGTTTCTCTTTGAGTTTCTGCGTCGTTACTGTTGCAATCGATGGTCTATTTTCTGTTGCCTTCAAAGCATACGCCAAACACACAGAGGGTTCGTCTTCATTTTTTTACCGATACTCTCAGCGCGGTAATATGCACAACTGTGACGTGATTTTCGCGGATGCCCGTGATAAAACCTCGCTTACAATTCTTGGGATCTTAGGTGATCATCACGCGCATTCACAGTTGACTAAAACAAATTTGCCTCAGACAGATGTTAAGGAGCTCAATCCTATTTCACTTGCCATTCCCGCTACAGCAGTGCGTCGAACAACCCATTATCAAAGGACATTCATGTTTCGACAAGTTGATAATGTATTCTCTAGGAATACGCGTCCGACGCTCACTGCTCTCGCAATCTCTCTCATGCAAAACGGCGTAAAAACCTCCACTACATTGACAGCTACGTGTGACATCAGAATAAACTATAAGAAGCACCATGAGTACCTGTGCGCAGCACTTCGGTGCATAAGCGAAGAACACAGAGTAGAATGTTTGATGAATTCGAATGTTACTGCTACCTTAGCGTTGATGGCAGCGCTACGTGAGTCCGAGAATAATGTCGGAGTGCGGAGTGACGAAATGGAACAGAAAACTACAATTAACAGAGCAAAAAAAACGGCATCCACCCGCATTCAGATAAACTATATGCAATCCACAATAGCATACGACATGGGGAATTCATTTAATAGTTGTCTAGTCATCACTGGTGGTTTAGGGTCCCTTGGCAGAACCATTATAGATGATAATAACAAAAGTTGTGTTGAATACAACATCATTGCGCAGAGTCGTAATGGTCGTTCAAACATTAACTTTAGCAATTTTTTGTCATGCAAACGTGGTAGCTTTAGTGCGGTAGCAGGAGACGCTTCTAGCACATCTGCCGTTAACTTTCTTTTCCAACGTTTCATGACTGAGCGCAATCTGGTCGTCCTTAGAGTAATCCACGCGTGCGGCACCCTTTCAGATGCCGATGTCACACAAATGTCCAAAGGAAAAGTGCAAACAGTTTTCGCTCCAAAAGCCGTGGGCGGCAGATCCATTCTCTCTGCAACTGACTGTTCACCTGTATCATGCGTGGTAGCTTTCTCATCTATCACCGCCGCATTTAAATCCCGTGGTCAAGCTAACTATGCAGCTGCGAATGCGGCAATGGATGATGACTTTGATATGAAGAATAGTGCGGGTGTACCGGCGATGAGCATAAGATGGGGGCCATGGAATGGCAGTGGAATGGCTGTAGATAATCACGCAGCCCGTTTCATCGAGGACAAGGCGGCTGCAATGGGTATCGGCATGATTGTACGCGATGATGGACTACACATATTAAATAGAGTTACGCGACGGTTGGCAGCTGGCATGAACAATGCACGGGGGGGTATCATCTTGTGCGCATCGGTGGCAACATGTCCATGTACTAACACAGAGACAATATCCTTGACTTCAATGCCCAAAACTACAATCGAGCGCTACATAGTGGGTGCAGTTGCCGAACTCATCGGGTCTGAGTTAAACCTGAACGACACGCTGTTTGCTGCTGGTCTTGATTCTCTCGATGCTATCGAGTTGAGTCAACGTTTATCGAACATCTTTGGTGTGGCATTGCCGTCTGTCCTTGTCTTCAACTACCCAACAATTGCGGCTGTAACAGCTCGTGTTGCGGCCGTCGTTGGCGAACCATCGGATGTTGTGTATCACTCGGCTACTAGAACAATCGACAACGGCTTCATGAACAGTCAGATTGTTTTTGTCGGCCTTGCTGCCGGTCGATGTACAGCAAATGGCTTTAAGGACAGCGTCACAACAACACCAAAAGATCGTTGGGACACAGATATAGACATCGATGACTCCACGTGTTCTGGATCTGTACTAAACCCCCGTTTCAGCGTGTTCATGGAGAATATTGTGTTGTTTGATGCGATCGCATTCGAAATTCGTGACATCGAGGCTGTGTCAATAGACCCAACTCATAGATTACTCACTGAGGCGGCATCAGAGACATTGAATCCGCTTCTCCAACCTGCATCTTCTTCGTTTGCAATCGGTGTGTATGTAGGTGCAGTTTCTACACACTTCGCTTCCCTTCATCCCACATTTTTGCCCACCGCGTACTCAGCAACAGGACAACAACCAAGCGTTGCATCTGGACGGATCTCTTACTGTTTCTCTCTTGTTGCCCCGGCAATCACAATTGATACTGCGTGCTCCTCTTCACTGGTGGCAGTACACATGGCTAACTTACATATTCGTTTAGGACGACCTTTCGGAATTCATGTTGATACTGCGATGATAGGGGGAGCACACCTAATGTTATCGCAACAACAATCGCGACTATGCCATATGGCAAATATGCTTGCAGAAGACGGTAGGTGTAAAACACTAGATGCGAACGCGGACGGATACGTCCGCGGTGAGGCAGTGCAAACTGTTGCTGCGGTAAATCATGAGGCACAACTAAATAATGACACAAAGATCAAAAGAGAACACGTTGTCATCATTCTCGTGGGTGCTGCTGTGAATCAAGATGGTCGTTCTGGATCACTTACGGCTCCTCGTGGACCATCACAAGGTGATGTGATTAATCTTGCGCTATTAGGATGTCTCATTAGAGTCTCGAGCTTGCAGATGCATGGCACTGGAACCGCATTAGGTGATCCTGTAGAGTTGACTGCTGCATTCTCCTCTATTTTGTCAACATTTGATCGAAATACAATTCACTTTTCGCTTGATGCTGTGAAAACTCGTTGTGGACATGGCGAAACTGCAGCTGGCCTTACATCACTTACTGCATCACTACATCAACTTTCGGGTCTTGATCGCACTGCGTCTATATTTCATGTGCGCACGCTTAATCCGCATATTGAACATGCATTGGGTGTGCATATTAGTCAGGTTCTGAGGCAACATGCGTCTACGTTCGACCCATTCGCAACTGGGGTGAGTTCATTTGCATTTCAGGGTACTAATGCACATGTTATTGTTCACGCTGACCTATCGCAAAACACATGGCCGTTGTTGGCGATTAGTGTATGCACGGCCACATTCGGTTCGTTTGACCGAGTGAGGTACTGGCCAACACCAATGCAAATGGCAAGTGGTATAAGGATGTTGATGCTGAATTCCTCTAACATGAACAGCCCTGGGACTGAAATAACGCAAATTTTTGCCTGCCCTGGTATTGCACCCGACACACTCGATCATGTTGTCGGCGGGCGGTCCATCCTTCCCGGCGCTGCGTTTATAGAAATCACGCATGCAGTAGCACTAGCATGCGCAAACCATTCATCGGAAATAACAATTTCTGGAACAAACCAAATTGTCGCCAAGGGACTTACCATTTCTCGCCCGCTTCAGCTGAAATCGGCCAAAATACTTCCATCACTACAGATCTCAATCAGTACAGGTGGAAAAATATCAGTAGAGGCCGACAAAAGGATCAAGACGCGCATGCTTGCATCATGCAAAATGAGAAGCTCTTGCAGCGTGGCCAATTACGAAACAGCTAGTGTAAACTTTTCTACTAGCTTGTGGTCAAATTCGATGCATTTCCTCACAGCGCATGTGGCAGCAAAACCGATCCAAGTGATGGACACATGCACTCTTGACTCATGCTTTCAATCTGCACAGCATATACATGACTTTACAACACACGATGAAGATCCTAGGGTACCCGTATCAATCGCTTGCTCTGTTTACGCAACATTGAACGGGCGTTCGTGCGGTCAAAATTTACATGTCGCTGTCGACACACAATGCCATGCACAGACCGAACTGTCTTTGACAGCGTCTTTTGCAATATCAATGCAAGACAAATTGCTCGTGCAAGTAATTGGTTGCATTGCGAATCGCATGCGTGTCACCCAAAATATACAATCATCAACAAAAGTCGTGGGCATGAAAAAAAATAGCGCGATAGTGTACACAATCACTAATTTTGCATTGCCTTTAGATTCAGTATCGTTCGCTCGTGCTGGTGCAGAAAAAAACAAAATCCCATTATTACAGCGCTGGCGGAATGCCGAGAGGATAACATTCAGCAGAAGTAGGGATAGTTATCGTCGGACAACTACAACAATTTGTATATCACATGCACTCGCTGCACAAATTGGCCATCGCGGGGCACGCCTTGATATTCAATCACGACTATCTACACATGATGATCCATGTGATGATTCGATATGGTCACTGTTGCGTTGTGCATGGCGCGAGTCATTCTTAGATTATATTGAACTTGAAGTTAGTGATGCTAATGCTGCACTAAAAAACAACAATGACAACAACTCTGCACGTGGAAACTTTGAGTGTATTGAATGCCACGAGTGCGGTATGATCGCACGCATGTGTACAAATCGCATAATAAATCCTCTTCAACATACAATGACAGTTGTACCCCCAATCTCAAATACGAATGAGGCATCTGAGTTCTTGCGGCACATATTGACGAGAACGAATAAAACGCCTATTACAAACCTTTTTTTGGCTGATATCGGTCTGGCCAAGTATTGTTATCTCCCTCTTGCACAAGAATGGATGATCACTGGTGGAACCGGTGGAATCGGTCTTGAAATAGCCGGCTGGATAATGTCGCGCAATAAAAATCCAGTTGCGTATACACCCCTTGGTGTAGAGCTCCTCGGCAGAACCGGCCGTGTGGCTTCATTGCTGACATCAAATGACACAATGTGCACAGCTACACTCACGTTTGTCAGATCCGACGTCACACGATCCGAAGATTCAACTTGCTGTAAACGTGCACGTTCTCCAATATACCTACATGCAAGTGGAGTGTTAGCGGACTCTTCAGTCATGCGGCTCACTGCTGGAATGACGCGTACAGTATTCGCTCCAAAGAGAAACAGCATGCTACATGTCGTTGATCATCTCTGCGATGTGCATTCAATTACCATGTTTTCTTCTCTCGCGGTGATCGGATCACCAGGGCAAGGCAACTATGCCGCTGCAAATGCATCTACTGATGTCCAAGCAATTAGGACGCGTAGGTGTGGATTACCATCATGTTCCGTGCGTTGGGGCGCATGGGGTGGTGGATTTGGCATGATCACTACATCTAGTGGTCTTGCCACGGCAAATGCATCTGGTGTGGGTGTTATCCATCCCTCGAGTGGAGCAGAAACTTTGATAGCTCTCGTGTCCAATCAGGCTGCAAGGGATTACGTCGTGGCAGACTTCAATTGGCCAAGATTCTTGTACTCTGATTGTGAAGGTCATTCACCTGCTAATGATAATTTATTTTCTGTTGCCAAAAGTGTATATATGCCATCTACAGAACGAAAACATGATGACTTGAGGAACACAGATGCACAGAAATGCTCGTTTTATAGTAACTGTTCAGCACTATCAAAACACGACATCACCGTAATGGTTGACAATATCACCGCTGCCCATGTTGGTCATTTAGTGCCCCAAGACGCGATATTGTTGGATGCTGGTCTCGACTCCCTTGGTGCAATTGCACTAGCTGGAGATGTCTCTAAATCGTTTGGACTTCGACTTCCAGGAACATTCGTTTTCGACTACCCAACGACGATGGCGATAGCGGAGCAGCTCGGACTCATGATTGATTGTTTCGATGTCCAAGAAGAAATACCGACAAAAATAAAAAAAATAGTGAGCTGGACGAGACGGCAGAATGTTTTTGTCGCATCACTTGGTACTGCACGAGGAAACATAGCGAAAGACACAGATGTGATCCGAACTCATCCCATTGATCGTCATTACATTGACGAGTACCAAGGTAGATATGACTCATGCCCGATCAAATTTGGAGTATACATAAAAGACATTGAACACTTCGATGGCATTTTATATGGGCTTGGCATGGAATATGCAACACAGATAGATCCACAGCATCGGGCACTTCTTCGTTGCACTTCAAGCATGATGTGCAGACAAGATCTACGATCTTGCGCAGCAGTTGGATGTTACGTCGGAATCGCAACTCAAGACTATGATTACCTCAAGGTGAAAATGAACGTTGAGGTGAGCGCACACAGTGCAACATCCACGACGCTGAGCGTCGCTTCCGGTCGACTGGCATTCACGTTTGACCTAAAAGGACCGGCCCTCAGCATTGACACCGCATGTTCGTCGTCCCTCGTTGCCGCACATCTCAGTTTTATCAGCCTAATGAAGGGTGATGTAGAAAGCACATTGACATGCGGAGTAAACTTGATATTGATCGAAAGAAACACAATAATGTTTCAGCGAGCCGGCATGTTGGCCCCCGATGGTCGGTGCAAGACTCTCGATGCATCCGCTGATGGCTATATCCGAGCCGAGGGCTGCGAGATAATCTTGCTCGCGGCTTCGTCTGATGATGTAATGCAACTAAATGTCGCACTTGGCGGTTCGGCAGTAAACCAAGACGGGCGATCAAGCTCGCTCACAGCACCAAACGGTCCCACTCAACACGCTGTGATCAAGTCCGCACTGCTTGACGGGCGCTTCTCAGCTTCTGACGTGACGAGCTTGCACTTACACGGCACTGGCACGTCGTTGGGTGATCCCATCGAGATCGGCGGCGCGCTCGGCGCGCTTGCAGATGACTCGCGCGTCCTCGTGTTGGGAGCTGTGAAGTCATGGATCGGGCATGCAGAATGCGCCGCCGGCGCGGTTGGACTTGTACACGCGGCGACCAACCTGGCGTCTGCTCGCATGTCAAGTGTTGCACACCTTCGTTTTGTCAATTCGCACGTGGCGAGCGTCATGTCCGTGGCTAATATAACAACAGGACTTCCAAAAACTCTTCAGTCGCACGGTCTTAAGTCACGTGTTGCGGGCGTAAGTTCATTTGCATTTCAGGGCACGAACGCCCACGCAATTCTACCAGTGTTTCTCCGTCTTTCAACTTGTGCAGTTGAAACATGTATCAGTAATCTCGATGCTCTACGCCGCCATTGGATCCATACAACTCAGACGTATTTAGTCGAGATATGCCATGCAATACATTATTTAGAGGAATCTTGCTCAATCGAGGCGCAATGTTTCGATGGCATGATGTCATCAGCTGATGTTACTATTGCAGGACGACCGATTTTGCCATTCGATGTTGCTTTGGATTTTTCTCGCTTGTGGGTTCAACTGAATGGTGTGGATGGTGATTTCATTTGTCAGACAAATTGCGCACAATCTGCTGTGTTACTTTTAGAGGACACCAATTGTTTACTCCGTGTTGATTTGTCTCACGATAGTTCATTCAAATCATTTTATTGCCACTGTGCACGATCAGCTTGCAGCTTGACCGGTAGAGTTGCCCAAATTATACCTGTCCATCTCTCAGTAGTTGTGGTCTTGACATTAAAACACAATGCGAATTCTAGGACTCGGCTCCCCACGTCGCAAAATTGGGATAAAGGTGATTTTTTATTATCTAGATATGAATTCTCAGACAAAAAATGTACTGTGTCACCGTCCATCACACCAGATGGCATCCCTATCGCCGAATATGCTCGAATATCGTCAACTTCTCTTGAAAAAAAGGATGTGACAGTTCTCACATTCTGCAAACATGGAAACAGCGACGTCACAGAGCAAGCTACTGTAATTGACATGGAGGACTCTTCCATCATACGAATGATGGATAGAACACGTCGTGCTATCGCACACCTTGTCGTGGAATACGAAGCAAATGCCATGGAACATGAAACACGTGCAGCACTTCAAGATGACATACACAATACGGTAAGAAAAAATCAACTCCGACAGCAACCTCACAAATACAGATTAGCATGGACCTATGCACCGACAGACGCACCGATTAATCCTACATCCTCAAGGCAAATCCACTGGGAAAAGTTTTACGCACACGACAAACGCGGTCGAACATCCTTGAAAGATTTATACTCCAAAAACAGCGGGAATGCCCTTTTAGGCTTCGAAGTTGACATTGACATATTATTGAATCGCGCAATTTTGACCCAGGTTCCATTTGATCAAAAATTTGACGAAGCAGAAGTCGCAGAGGAGACGCCGCGTGTAATCGCCGCAGCGGCAACATCACTACTTGATATTCTACGCGAGGCCGTTGATGATGATATCGCACAGGATATTTTATTAGCACCTCCTCCCCTATACCTTTTCTCATCGAGGGGCGCCGAAGTTCGACCAACCATTGCACTCTTGGTTACATTGGCAAAAGGTCTGAGACTAGAACATCCGCGTATGTATGGCGGGCACGTCGATACAGAGGTAAACGATACCTTTGACGTCGGCGATACTTCTTCATCAACATGGTTACCGACAGTCCTTGCAGATAAATCGCACGCAGTCAAACTCTCCCTTAATGGCGCCCGTTTAGTATTGCGATTAGTACCTGCAGTTGATGAACCAGATACAGAGGACGTCAAAATCTCCCTCGGTAAATCATGTTGCATCGCGGGAGGTACCAAAGGACTTGGTCTAGCAATTGCTAAAGCTGCTGTAACATCTCCTGATTTACGCTCACTTGTTCTTCTAAGCCGTTCTGGGCATTTAGACACGACAGTTAAGCACGAACTTCGGGAAGCTCTACGCCAAACCCCGATTGGGTGCATAGATGCGTGTGTTTATGATCTTGAAGCCGATGTACGAAAACCCGGTTCTATTGCATCCATCAGGCGTGTGCTCGCAACATGCGGGACACACGATCCTTTTGACAATGGCACGATAATTTGGACTGCAGGCGTGACAGGCCACGCTCCGCTTGCATCGATGACTGGCAAACAATGCTGGGAGGTTTTGGCACCGAAAGTTGCTATCGCACAACATTCATCGGTTGTCGATCATAACGAAAATATATCAATTGCTCTAGTATCTTCAATTTCTTCGGCATGGGGACAATCTGGCGCTTCACATTATGCGGCTGCTAACGCTTTTTTTGATGCACTAGCAGCAAGGCGGGCAGCACAGGGTGCACATTGTGTTGCCATACGATTTGGCCCCTTCACTGGCACGGGGATGATTGGTGCAGAAGATGAAGAAAAACTGGGGCGTCTAGGGCTAGCATCGATGCGCCCTGAAATTGCTTTGCAACTGCTCTCAAATGCGCTCGCGGCACACAAAACAGATTCGGGTCTGATTGTTGTAGAAAGTTTAAATATCCTCTTGTTCAAGCGCGTTCATGCCAACGTGCTCGGCGAAAGCTGGGATTTACTCGAGATGCTTGAGGACTCACCTGACGAAAGACATGATCTAGAGACTACGATACTTCAGAGGGTTCCCTATAAAATAAAAATGGCACACGTCTCAATGTCAGTCAGCACCGCGTCAAAAATCCTGAAACGCGGTCTAGTACGCCTACTCGGTGACTGTACACATGCAATGGATCAACCTTTCATAGATGCGGGTCTTGACTCGCTTTCAGCGATCGAATTGGCAGAATGGCTACAATCTGAGACAGGGATTTTTTTCCCGCGAACTGTAGTTTTCGATTATCCTACCTTCAGGGAACTTTCAACTTTTATGTCGCGCAGAAGCAGATCACTAGAAAAGTATGAGATGATGAAGCTGGCGGACGAAGATAAAGAATCGCTGTTGCGACATGGAGATGGCATTACAATTAATCATCAACCCAAAATAACATCAAATCGGGAATGTCTTCAAACACGAGTAATTGGAACTACATCCATCGATGCTGACATAAACATTACCGACACAATTTCCACCTTTCCGGTGTGCCGGGTTCCTGTGTGTTGGTCAATTTATGACGCAAGTTACGCTCCTGGTGCTCATTTTGGTGCATTCGTAGAATCTGCGGACTGTTTTGATGCGTCCTTGTTTGGGTTTCGAACAACAGAAGCAGCACAAACCGACCCACAACACCGTTTGTTGCTTCACATTGCTGCTACTTTATTGTGTTTCAATACAGATTCCACCAACATCACGAATACGTGCGTAACGGTTGGCATAACTGCCGTTGAGTATGCTAATATTGCTCTAACAACATCGTTTTTCGCAAGTTGCCAACCTTTGCCGACATTTGGCGCACTAAACGTTGCAGCTGGTCGTATATCTTACGTCTTTGATCTCCGTGGACCGTCAATGGCGATAGATACTGCATGTTCATCTTCACTGGTGGCGGCTCGTGTGGCATATTCACATATAACTGACAAAAATGACGATTCGAGTTCGCATGCACTGATTATGGGCGTAAACTTAACTCTATCAAGATTGACAACTGAGGCGTGTGCCATGGTTGGAATGTTGTCATCTTCGGGCAGATGCAAGACCTTAGACACTGACGCGGATGGATATGTCCGCGGCGAATCGTGTCCAGGACTTCACCTTAGCAATTTCGATCACCATAACAGAGGTCGCGACGTAATCATCGCGGGCGTGGCCGTGAATCAAGATGGAAAAAGTGGATCACTTACAGCACCAAACGGACCTGCACAAAGTCGAGTACTGCTCGAGGCATATCGTCTCGCCCTTGTTGAAATTGACGATGTTCTTCACGTGTCAATGCATGGCACTGGTACAGCACTTGGTGATCCCATTGAGGTCAGTGCAATAGTATTTGCGAAATGGTACGGAAAAGACAACGACGGGGACTACGACCTTTTTGCCAAAAAAACAGGCTCGCAAGGAAAATTTGCTACTCTTTTGAATGCGCTTAAATCACATGTCGGGCATACTGAAAGTGCGTCTGGGGCGCAGGGTCTCGTTGCTGCTATACGCGGATTCCTCACACGAGATGACCCGTGTGAATTCGTTCTTCACCTTCGGTCGATAAATCCCTTCATGGTTAACATAAAAAAGTATACGTTTGGTGCAATAGGCACATCTTTTGGGTTTATTGCGCGGAGACAGAATGCCCCTAGCACATCGGCCACAGCACTTCACGGTATAAGCTCATTTGGCTTCTCAGGAACAAATGCGCACTTAGTAATTACCGTTGCAATTGATGAGTTCGTGCAATTTGCCAGATGTGTGAACTCTAGAAATTTGTTCAACTTCGACAGATATTGGGCAGCACCGAAATCATCAATGTTGGTTGGTTGTGCTCACATACATAATTCTTCTAATCGATGTATTGTGCAAATGGATGCGGGATTAGTAAACAAATATAAGTATCGATTACAGGTCACTTCACTCGCATTTGCCGAGGCAGTTGCGGGCAGATTCACTTCATGGTGCAGTGGATTTGGCGAGTCGAAGTGTCTGTCATTCGCACTTCGTTATACAACGTTTTGTTGGGTTTCAGATGCAGCATGTGAATCTGTGAAATGTAATTCTGTGGCAACTTGCGCGGTCGATACTACCCATGGGAGGATGACAGTCTTGACAGCTGGCGTTATGGAGTTACACATGACAGTAAGTGACTTACAAATCAATCCCTCCACCGCCTTCCTAGAGACGAACGCGAAATCTCGCAGTTTTATATCAGATATTTTTAGTATTCAGCGAATGATAGTGGTGTCGCGCATACCTCGTCGCAGTCTGGAAAACGAAGAAAACGTTCCGACCGAGTTGTTTACAGCAGCAGTCATAGATATGCACGGTGACTGTTCTGTGCATGCAAACGGAGGTCATTCTTACCCAACACTAATTGACCTAATCATCGGTGGCGGTGAAAGCCGTAATGAGTCATTTATTGTCGCTAAGGACACCATTATGGGCATATGCTCGTCTTTTTGCGTCAGTGATCGGCCATACTTTCTCGTGGATGGTATTGAGACGGCACCGTTGAAGCAAAACCTAGATGATGGTTTAAATTCATTTCACGCAAATGCTACGTCGCCGGCTGTTTGGAAGCACAAAGGGATGAACAGTCGTAACAAACAGACTGATCCTGATGCGCGATTGATTCGGACACGGATTTTCAGTGCTCTTGACGAGATCACTGACAGCCGCTATGCCAGCGATACTTACGATCGCCCCCCCATCGACGATTCCACCTTCCTAATCGAAGCAGGTTTAGATTCTCTAAGTGTCATTGAGCTTCACGCGGCGTTGCAGCGTGCCTTCCCAAATTTGCCACCACTGCCCCCTGCACTAACTTACGAATGCCGCACCATAGATGACCTCGTACAACTGGTGAGTGAGGTCTTGGGGAATGAGGAGTCTAATCAAATAAGAGCGCGAGAAGTAGCCATTGCAGAAATTTTAGAGATTGACGCCATGTCTATTGACACGAATGCAGCATTCTGCTTGACACGAGAACAGATTTTGTTCCGATTGCATGGCATGATGTTTCCCGACTCGTCAGCGTACAACATGGGCTTCGTATTGAGGTTCGATAGGCCGGTGCAAAAGCAACTGTTACAATCGGCAATGACACGGGTATTGGCTAAGCATCCCGCATTGTTAACCACTGTATCGCGTGACGGGAAAACGCAGGTGTGGCCGAGCACATCATCGTGGGCAGCAACGCTTGCAATTACGGCGAAAGTCAGGCGGCTTGACGATATTAATGGCTTTGAGGTTGATGATGATGAATTGACAATAGACCATCCTGCTATAGCAGCGGCATGCTCAGAGCCGTTTGATTTTACACACATGCCACCACTTAGGGTGTATAGAGCTGGAACTTCTGCAATTTTAATTGTTGTGCATCACGTGGCATGCGATGCATCATCACTATCTTTGATAGCAAAAGAGCTACACGAGCGAGTGGTAAGTGAACGCGATTTTCCAGAAGAACGAGAGCGAGTGCCAGAATTAGGATTTTTCGTGCATGCAATGACGCAAGCCCGACAATCCACGGCGACACTTGCCCAAAAGCTCAATCATTGGGAAAGTCTATTGAAAAGTATAAGTACTTGTTCAATCAGTTTTAAGCCGCTTAAACTTCGCCTGAATTACTCTCCAACTGTTGATTACGGACAATTTAAGAGGGCATGCGCTAGCATCGACATTACCATACCTGAAATGCTTGTGTCCGTTCTCCGGATAAATGCTAGTCGATGCGGTCGTAGTGTTTTTTCATCCCTTCTCTCAGCTTGGGCGTTAAGTTTGCGTCAACAAGCAGAACCGTGCCCTAGCTACGTAAACACGCCCGCTAACAACTTTGTGTTTGGTACAGCGTTTGACCTTCGTGGTGTCTCAGGGTTGCGCACATCAGAGACGGTTGGATGTTTTTCAACGCTCCTTCCAGTATGGTGCCATATCGAAGATAAGATATGTGCATGCAGAGATCAAGTTGATATCCCATGTAACGCATCGAACACATTTGAGCATTTTGCAGGACAGATGCACGAAACCTGCCGAACTGCATTTCATCATCCAGATGTCCCTCTTGTGAGTGTCATCGAGAGACTCAAGCCTCCACGACAAGCCGGTGGTGGTAATCCATTATTCAGCACTTGCTTTAGCTTTGTGTCTCTGCCCCGTGGAGTCGACTGCAACTACAGAACAATTGACGCGACGCGGTTTACTGAAGCTGCCTTCGAATTGTGGCTGGGTTTGGGCGAGTTGGCTGTTGGCGGCATGCGTGGACAGCTTACGTATGATACGTCTGTTTTCAGCCGGAGCACTGCAAGTGCTATAGCTTCGTCTTTCAGTATGTGCCTCAAGCAGGTCGCAGCAAACCCTTTATCAGATTTGCACATAGTCGAGGATGTCATGGCAAAAGCAAGAATGAATGCATATTCGTCGGCATGTGTAGCACCAGAGAAACTAATTGCCCGAGCTGCAGTCGTAGCTGCGTGTGGAACAAGCATGTCCGCGACGTTTCAACATGCTTGGCGCTTCATAGAAAGGGGAGTTGGCATTGAAGCGCGTGACGAAGTTGTTCGGCAGCGCATCCGTGACACTACTCGTGACAGCGACTCACATAACGTGATCACCTCCTTTGAAGGACTCGAGATTCGTTCACGTGCCTTGGCAATTCATATCCGTCGGGCCTGGCCTCATATTTGTGCACCACGGATTTCTGTGCTCGCCCAAAACGGCTCAGATGTCATTGCAGCTCACTTTGCTGCCGCACTAGTTGGAGGTATCATCGGCAATCATAACACTCACGTGACGGCGACAGAACTTGCGTATCAGCTTGAGGAATTCGAGCCTCACATAGTTATCATAGGAAGTGATGCACTCGAGACAGTTGTGAATACTGCCCTTGCAAGTAAAAAACGATTTGCTCCTAAAAACGTCCGCACGCCGTGGACTGATGCAACTACGGCTAAGAGTAAATGTGCAACTGAATTACTCCACGGCTTCGATCCGTCTGACCCATACCAATTATATTTTACTAGCGGCACATCAGGTAAGCCAAAGGGCGTGATGCTTACTCAAGAGATCGTGAGCCGCCATGCTGTCGGTGCCATAACGGAGATGCGACTATGTCATCAAGATGTATGGCTGCATGCTGCACCAATGTTCCATCTTGTGGACGCTTTTGCAATCTATGCGGTCACTGCAGTTGGAGCTAGTCATGTTATACAACCTACATTCGAAGCTTTTGCAACTCTAAGAGTCATTGAAACGGAGTGTGTGACTGTCATGAACGTCGCTTCAACAATGATTTCATTGTTGGTCATTAATCCATCTCTGCGTGATGTGGATGTGAGCTCATTGCGGCTAGTAAGCTGCGGTGGAAGTCCCTTGGCAGAGGTATATATAAAGCAAGCAATTTCTGCCTTTGGTTGTGAGTTTTTTATGTCTTATGGCATGACTGAGTGTTGTGGAAAAATCGCTATGAGTCTCCTCAGCAGATCACAACGTGCTAACTGTAGTCTTGAAACCCAATTTAGGACTGTCTGTACGTCCGGTAGGCCCTTTGCACCTCAAGAGTTGCGTGTTGTTGATAAAAACGGGGAAAATGTTACCAAGGGTGATGGTGAAGTGGGTGAAATATATGTCCGGGGACTCACTGTTTTTGATGGCTACTGGCACGAATTAGACGTCAAGAAAGTTGTCATTGACGAAAACGGATGGTTTAGAACAGGCGATCTAGCAACGATTGATATGTTCGGATACATTCAGATCGTTGATCGAAAAACAGACATGGTCTTAGTCGGTGGAGAGAATGTGTACACCGCAGAAGTTGAGGCAGTACTATGTGCACATCCTGCGGTAAATCAAGCAGCAGTATTCGGAGTTGACAACGAGTTGCTCGGTCAGATTGTCCACGCAGTCGTTGTTCTGAAAGCAGATTTCGATAAGTTAATCGATGAAACTGTCTTACTAAAGCATGCACGTGAATATTTGTCTGCGTTCAAGGTGCCTGCGGTATTGAATATCGTGGAAGCGTTTCCAACGAGCGGAACAGGAAAAGTTCTTAAGAACGTGCTTCGAATGGCTACAACTACATCAAGTAGAAAACCTGCGCGCCATAAGCTAGAGTCATGGTCCCCGATTGAGACTGTGTCATTATCATCTATCGTCCGCACAAGATATGTCTTACTTGTAGACAGTACAACACCAGATGAATTCTTCAGTTCAATCTTTGCCTATGTCGCCACACAACAAGGTTGCTGCCAAATCTTTACATGGTCTGAACTATCATTGTTCTCGCATTCTACTGTTGAAACCATGAATATAGCCGCAGCGGCTCGATGTGGTATGGACATCTCACACATTACTGTAGATAACATTGATGAAGCACAAATAGCGGCAACCGCTGCCTTATGGCATTCTAATGATGAAATGCATATTGCAACTAACATATTGTTGCATGTGTCAAAAGATTCGATCCATGCCAGTGACTTCCACGTCCATATCGGGTGTGAGCTCATTTTGACTACACCTGAAATGACGCGAGATCTAGATACATGCATGTTGCGTTTGGTCGACTTATTGTCACCCACCTATGTAGAGACAATCACTTATCAACCGCTCAAAATTGAGACGAAACCAATAATAAAACTCACTGGAGACAAAATTGCTAGAATTTCACTCGAAAGTGTCCGTACCCGGACTGCATCCGCCACTGAAACTGTCTTGGGTGTGAAAGTAGAGAGAACTGCGTCATTGTGGGATCTTGGTGTAAACAGTGTGTCAGCAGTCACGCTGGCTGCTGCGTTAGAACACGAGTTTAAAGTAAGTTTGCCTGCCAGTGTGGGATTTGATTACGGCACTCTAGATGATTTGACCAATTTTATTTACAGTAAATATTTTGTTGTAACAGTTATTCCTGTTATGACAAACGTTACTGACGATATGTATTCGCTGATCCCGATGATGAGCCGTGCAACACCGTCACGTGGTGACAACACAGTCGTCCCATGGCATTCACATGATCGACGAATTACTCGACAAAGATCATCCGTTGAGGATGAACGGCCATTGATCACAAGAACGAATATCATCTATTCAATGCTAGCAAACTATTTCCCAGACAGTTTTTGTTCCATCGACAGTTTCTACGGTGTATGTGACGAGAACACCTCTCTATGGTCTCTCGGACTATCTTCTGTCACCGCGGTGCAACTCGTCAACGTGATTGGAGACCGTGTTGGTGTCTCTTTACCTCCGACATTGTTATTTGATTATCCCACTGCGAAAAATGTGGCAGCTTATGTCGAGAAGTGCGATCTACACGACTTAGAAGTTGTAAGAAAATCAACTTTGCATACTGTAGCTAGCAGGTCGACCAACAATGTTGAAGAAATCCAACGAGGCTTGCCTGGACGTGAAGACATGAACATGTCACGCACGGTCTTTGTCACAGATGCCAATTTTACCGTTGCAGACGATGTTAGCGCCTACCGGGTCATCGATTCAATTGGTACATTGCCCATTTGGCGCTGGGATCCGGATAACCCGACCGACAGCTCATCAAAGAAGATTGTCGAGACCCGGTTTGGTCATTTTGATACAGACATCGGTGACTTCGATGTATCTTATTTCTGTAGCACACAAAATGAGGCGCCTTTCATCGACCCACAGCATCGTGCTTTGTTACAGATATGTGATCGTCCTTGTGTCGCAAGAGGTCGACAATCGGCAAGGGAAGGAATGCGATTTGGTGTATACGTGGCGATATCACATATGGAGTATGCTGTAGATTTGCGGTTTCATGGACATCACATAGTGCACACTACAACTGGAAACGCGCATTCTGTCGCATGTGGTCGCCTGAGTTTTTTTTATGGATTGAAAGGGCCATCTATAGCAATAGATACCGCATGTTCATCAGCTCTTGTTGCCTTACACTTGATACGTCATGGTGTTGCAGGTTGCGATTGCGATCAAGGGATAGCAGCGGCAGTAAATCTATGCCTATCAAGATACACGAACTTGATATTCACGCGAGCTGGGATGTTGGCAAGAGATGGACGATGCAAGACTCTAGATGCGACGGCAGATGGGTATTCTCGACATGAAGGGAGCGGAGTAGTCGCAGCGACAAACAACACAGATGCAAACACTAACTGTCTTTTACTCATTTCTTCTATGGTAAACCAAGATGGAAGATCCAGTTCGTTAACTGCTCCAAATGGACCTTCACAAAATTCATTGATTGGAATGACACTTTCTTCCGGAAGGATCGATCCAGGGGATGTCAACGTGTTACAATTACATGGCACGGGCACGTCCTTAGGAGATCCAATAGAGATCGGGGCAGCTTGCGATGCACTAATTGTGATTCGGAGATCAGTTAGAACCCCTGAATGGACAAAAAATGTTGATATTCCTTTGACTTTAAACGCAGTAAAATCTCATATTGGACACGGAGAGACTATTGCAGGAATGCTTGGGGTCTGGCAAGCCGCTGGGACTCTTCGAACGGTGTGTGCATTCCCTCTTTGTCACCTCAGGAACATTAACCAATACGTTAAATCTACTTTTGATCGTGTTGGGAATGAATTAATCCGTTGCCCACGGCAGTTCTTGCCGCTGTCTACAATCATGCATGATGCTTGCACAATTTCAGGCGTTAGCTCCTTTGCGTTTCAAGGCACGAATGCTCACTTGTTGATGATTGACTCACCACTGACTAGCAAATGTCGTAATGGCCTAGATCTAACTCGTCACTCTGGTATGTTATGGGATTGCCAATGGTACTGGATTACGCCTCCATCTCACCCATTAATTCCCAAGACCATCAATACGAAGCGAGCAGTCTCGTCTATCAATTACACTATCGATATATGTGAGAATGGCACAAAAAATATTCAATTCATTGATCACCGAGTTAATGGACGTCCACTATTTCCCGGCACTGGTTTCTTCGAACTCGCAGACGCTGCCATTAATCACGGACGTGCCGGTTCCTCCCCATGTGGTATGACTTGGTCTGCTACCCCTTCCCGCCTGGGCGAGTTGTCTATTCCTACGCCGCTTGTTCTCGCAGATACACTGCGGACTTATCGAACGTGCCTGACCATAGAAGCCATGTCAGGATCTTTCGTGTTTCGACGAAGCTTGACCACACATCTTGTTGGACATTCGATGAATACCACACCGATATTGATGCCCTACAAACTAGCTAGGTTTTATCCCTCGATTACAAAGGCCATATTCGCTCCAACATCACTCTCGACATCACCGCCTGTAGGATATGCATCTCTATTGAATGGACTAGACAATGATGCCAGCGGATTCTGGACCCATCCAGCAACTCTAGATGGCAGCCTCCAACTTGGCTTCTGCTCCAACATTACTCACCCGACTCTGTTCACAACTATAGTACCTGTTGGTGCACAAATGTATGAAGGTCCGCTTGTGGCTCACCTCGAGTGCGCATCTATGCAAACACATGTCCAGTATCATGGCATAGACGGGTCGAAGAGAGAATCTTCACATGTCCTTCGTGAATCACATAGCAATTGTGCACGGAGTGTTACGCATAAGCTCATTTCACGTGGCGTAAGTTTAGCTGCAGCAGGGAAACCACGCCTCGCCACACCGCGGAAATCATCTTGTACTGCGAATGTGCGAGAATCCGCGAAGTCAGGCAAATGTGAATTTAAAAACAAAAACGAGGTCATGTTTATAGTTGAATGGTTTGCAACGGAACAGACTTGCACAACAACATCATCAGTTGAAAAAACATTTTCACATTATCAACAATGCAATATCACAAGCCCGCCGAAACGATCAAATTCTCTTGGAGATGTCTTAGCATGCCTCAGTGCGCTGCAATCATTCGTTGGCAATCACAGCTCATCCGCTCACATGAACACTGTAAGTAGCATTTGCACAAAAATGGATGGGAATAATGGTGGCAACCTTGCCGAGCAAGAATCATTGCGAGCACTATGGCGAGTAGCTTCAGGGGAGTTTCGTTCATCTCAATGTGGCCCGTTCTCAACAGTCAACTCTTTCGCAACGAACGTTGTGACTAAATCGCATATTCCCACGACGAAAGCCAATGAACGTGATGCACATGATACAATACTTTATGCGAAGATGAAATATACACCATCAATTATTTGTGCGACTCAAAATCTGTTTTCGTGGTCTCCCAAATTCGGCAATTATTTGGACAAGTTTAGTTTGAGATCCATGGTGACCGGGATACTTGGAAGCAGATTTGGTGGTTTATTCACCTTAGACTCAACATCATCACCCGCACGAACGCCGGTACCCAAGCAAGATCGAAGTGTTATTCTTTCTGGTGGATCAGGTGGCCTTGGTAGGCTTGTCACATCATGGCTCACAGAATCCATTGGACACACCTCAGTTATAATGCTCAGCCGGAGGGGTCGACCTCATGTGCGCATTGAAGATGCGTGCGCTAATGATGCTATCGTGCACATCACAAAATGTAATGTTGCAACGTCAGCTGATGTTCAAGATGTTGCTTTAGCTTTGAGTATAACGAGTTTACCTCAAGTTGCCATGGTGATGCATTTGGGCGGCATCTTAGCTGATGCAATCATTATTAATCAATCTGTTCAAAAGTTTCAGTCTGCATTTGCACCAAAATCGAAGGGTTCTGCGCATTTAGACCGCGAATGGATTTCGGCTGGCGCCGTAACAGCATCGACATCATTTTCTTCAATCGCATCCCTTCTTGGCACTTCAGGACAAGCTAACTATGCCGCCGCAAATGGCGCTCTAGATGCGCACGCTACAATCTCGCGTGCACAAGGAACGCCCGTTACCAGTGTTCAGTGGGGTGCGTGGCACGGGAATGACTTGCAAGGAATGACGTCAGGTGACCCAGGAGGGATGCTTTCAAAGATGCGCCGGCTCGGTATTGGTGTGTTGAAGCCTTTAGATGGCCTGAAGGCGCTCGACATTCTCGTTCGTGGCATGACGGGCGAGATGGGATACCCATTTCAGTCCGTTGTCACAGTTTCACCGTTTGATCCATATCGGATTGCGGCATCCATGACGACATCATCGCCAAACAATGCCGTATTCGCTGAGCTATGTTCTCACACAACGAAAGATATTTTAAATACGGAAGATAATATAGAGGTTTGCGAGTTATCGAAAGCAGTACATGATACTTCCGGAAGTACTTCCGCGAATACTTCAGTTGCTTCAGTCAGTGATATAGTGTCTCGTGTGGCTAGTGTTTTCATTGGCCGTCCATTTGGTACATCAGAGGCTCTTGTTGGGGCGGGCCTTGACTCTTTGGGCGCAATTGAGTTCTGTGAGGCGCTCACTTCTGAATTGGAGTTGTACTTGCCAAGTACGTTGGTATTCGATTATCCCACTGTGGAGGACGTGGTTCAATTTATCGAAAGCAGTTTTGTCGCAAGAAGTAATTCTGATAAATTGACAACGTCAGCTGATGAATATGAAACAGATACTCATGTCATGTGCCATACGAAACCTGATCAAATGATGCACCCTATCCCACACATTATAAAGAGACAAGAGCAAATATCAGCTCTCGTTGGCTCGGTGATAGGCACACATCCGCCTGAAAACAAACCTTTAATTGATGCTGGCCTTGACTCATTAAGTGCAGTCGAGCTACGTAACGTTCTAATAGATGCCACTGGGTTAGCGATGCCTGCCACGGTAGTTTTTGACTATCCGACAGTTGCTGACCTAACAGAATATATCACTTCTATGACACGATCCACCGAGAGGGAGATTACTGTGATGTCTGAATCTTCATCGTCAAAACCATATTTTTTGAAAATTGCTAGTGCAAAAGGACTATACCCTACGCCCGAGGCAGGACAATTCAGCTCAGATATCATTCGACGTACTCCTGCTTCAAGATGGCTTCTGGATGACAGTTTAGTTGACAGCAAATTAAGACCAGTCTTTGGCGGATACTTGTGCTGCAGTGCCATCTCAACGTTTGATGCTCACGTTTTTGATATTTCCATCCCCGAGCTCGCGCTAATGGATGCGCAACAACGTACATTGTTGCACGTAACGGCTGATGCATTACGTACATCGTCAGCAAGCGTTGACCACGGTGGACTACTTGGTAAGAAGCGAACATCGGTTAGTGGTGGTGGGTTTCCAGTCGGTGTATATGTAGCTATTTCAAGTATGGACCACCAGAAGTTGCTCGAACGTCGCAGAGCACCAATATCGCCCTTCACTGCTACAGGGGGTGCGCTCAGTGTTGCTGCGGGTCGCGTCGCTTTTATACATGGGCTTATAGGCGCTGCTGTTGCTATCGATACTGCATGTTCCTCATCTTTGGTCGCGATACAAGTTGCTGCCACGAACAGCAGAGTAAGTCAGCACGCTGCACTTGTCGCAGGCATCAACCTCATACAAGTGCCCGAAACGACCGTGATGTTTATTCGCGCGGGAATGATAGCCCCAGATGGTCGATGTAAGACACTTGACGTAAGTGCGAATGGATACAGCAGAGGTGAGGGTGTGGGAGCATTGGGTTTGGTCGACTCGATAACGGCAACAGCAATTGAACGCGTAATAATAGCTGCTACTGCAATTGTTGGGACATGTGTCAACCAAGATGGTAGATCTAGTTCGCTCACCGTACCAAATGGCCCATCACAACAAGCAGTGGTACGAGGCGCACTCAACGCAACTGCAGAATCGTCAACAAGAAAAAATGGCATTGTTAATGCGATACACTTACACGGCACTGGGACGACTCTAGGTGATCCCATCGAAGTGGGAGCTATTTCTGCTGTTTTTAATGGTGCCAAAAAAGATGAAATCGTAATGCATGCATCCAAGTCGATGATTGGCCATGGCGAACCTGCTTCCGGAGTTTGTACGATTATTCGTGCGATCGACAATATAGTGTCCATGTCTAGCGATTCCGTGTTACATTTGCGTTCGCTAAACGAGCATATAACATCAATCATACGAATGCGACCAATACTGATGGTAAAGTTACGAGCACGCCGTGTGAAAGGAAATGTTTACGAAAGTCATGAAATGGCTAATAAGCCGCTAGTAAGTATTAGTGCATTCGCATTTCAGGGCACGAACGCACACGTCATCGTAGCGCAGTGTATCAAAGATGAATATCCAGGCTATGGGCCAATATTTCTACGTTATTCTGCTTTTTCAAGTTCTTTGTGGAAATTCAGACAACTTTGGCTCCCCCCTATTCACCCTCTACTAACAAAAGTTGAAGTGAAATATAATCCAAATGAATACATCCGATATCTGGCATATATCGATTCTACAGCCTCGCAATCGTATCTCTTTGACCATTGCGTGAATGGTCGACCGTTGTTTCCTGCGACCGGATTTTTGGAGCTTGCAACAGCTGCAGCACGCGGAACAGGAAGTACGGAACCCGGGGCCATCCGTAAAGTTGTAATCCCGTCGCCTCTTTTATTAAAAATGAAAAACTGCTGTGCATCGCGTACATATAATAGGCGGAGACGTGAAGATGTTGTTGCAATCTGTGATATTGAAATAAGGGGTAATGTAACTGTCAGTACATACGGAAGAGATAGGGTGCACGCACGAGGAGATTTTACGACAACGAGGTCGTCACACTCATTACCAACGTCGTTTACGAGCATTATCATGTTCTCGTCGTTTACAAATTACGCGTTTGTGTCGCCTTTGAGCAAAAGTTGTTTTGCCTGTCTAGCCATGGATGACGACACATTAGATGGAGGTGGTGAAAATACATCATTGTGGATTTCTTCTGCTGTTCTCGACGCAACACTCCAACTTCGCGTTCCGATGAGAAATGTGATCCATTCTAGCAAGGTAAGCGTCCCCACTGCTATTGGCGCATTTCTACTTCCAAGTGTTCCATTTCACATTGAACGAAATGTTTGTGGTGTTCTGAGAGCGAAGAATCCAACTTCAAGCGGATATGCGAAATCAGACCATCGGGTTAGTAGCAGTGACGATGCGGTAGCTTGCTCGCTCGTAAATCTGCAGCTAAAAGTAATGAGCAGCAGCCATCTCGAAGAAGTATCTCACAAAGGCACGTCATTTGCCTCGAATGTTGGTGGAAAGAGCACAACATCATCATTGATTTCAGAGGTGTTGTACGAAAGTATACGCAGTGCTCTTCCGTTGACAGTAGCCAACTTATCTACGCGTACGCGCTGCGTAGACCCATATACAAGAGTGAATTACCCTCCAGAAATTGCGGCGACGAAGCGTCGTGCATGCACAGGGGTTCATGCTACCAATCGCATATCTGTCTGTGATGGTATCAGACTTCATACTTCATATAAATGTGAATTTCACGAAGCTTTACGCGGTGTCATAAGGTCTGCAGCTAAAGAGTTGAACCCAATCAAAGTCATCATTGTCGATTACGACGCATATGAAAGGGGCAGTGAAAAACACATTAATAACACTTATTGTGACAGCACTTATGCTGGCGCCTCTCTAACTCGGCGCCTGATGAAATCGAATGTAATATCCGTAGCGTCTGCATACAGAAGCATATTTGGTGGGAAAGATCCGTGTACACAGGGCATACGTTCTCTTCTGCATATCGGTGGTTCAAACCTACCTCTAATCCACGCACAATTGCACCAAGTTTTTTGTAGCTCAAATTCTACTTCTACTGCTTTCATCATAGGGGGTCAAGGCGTTCTTGGCCAGCGTGTTGCAGCATACGCACTCAAAACCGGCATAATAAATGTAATATCGTCAAGCAGTTCAGGACGCGGGAAAAATAAAACGTCTCCCAACCTTATCTTGGCGAATATTTGCATTCTTCGTTGTGACATCGGATCAAAAGAAGAGTCCCGAACAGCTACCAATATCAGCCTCGCACGCGATCCAACTTGTGTGGTATTCCATTCTGGAGGAAAGTTAAGAGATGCTGCGTTACATAACCAGACTGCAAGTCTAATGGCAGAGGTAATGGCTCCTAAGGTGAGTGGATTAAAATGTGTCGATATGGACATTGCCTTACGTCCAACCAATGCTATGTTGTTCTTCTCATCCGTTGCATCACTTCTTGGTTCTCCTGGTCAGGCAAACTACTGCGCCGCAAATGCATGGCTCGATGTCCACGCCTTGAATGCGACAAACGCTGGAATTAAATGTGTCAGTGTACAGTGGGGCGCGTGGGCAGGTGGAGGTATGGCCACAGAGAATCCCCGCGTGTTAAGTCGCTTGCAGAATATAGGAATCGGAATATTGAGCCCTGAAGATGGCATCAATGCACTGGACATTATTGTTCGATCCGACAATGTGCCACCAGTGATAATAGTGAATAGATTTGATTGGTCGACGTTTAAGTCGCATATCAGTACCGAAGAAGCCCCATTTTATGACGAATTTATGTCATGTGCGCTTGCTGAATTGGCTACACCAGAATTCGATGACACCGGCGAGGAAAGTGAATTGCAGACAATATTTTTATCGCCCAATCACGACCAACCAACTCTCGCGACAGCGTCAACGACGGCGTCTCTGAAATCGGACATTATGTTGGCTGTGCATTCCGTTATTGGAAGGGGCATAAGCGAGCACGAACCTCTGTTTGACGCAGGCATAGACTCGTTGGGTGCTGTGGAGCTCCGAGATGCACTCATTGCTTTACCTGCGATGTCAGATTTTTTGTCGGGTGATTCTTTACTAGAGGCAGTTCCCTCAACCATTGTATTTGACTTTCCAAATGTTACAGCGCTATCTGACCACTTATTACGATGTATAGGCAGTAGTATCGAGACAAGTGTTAATACAGTCGGTTTATCATCGCACGTAAACGACCCAATGGTATCTCTTGGGGGTGTAGCAGCAATGCTCCCAAACTCTACCGAAGATCGTAAAAGATCCGACACTGATGCATTATCGCTAGTTCCTGGAGAGAGATGGCATGTAGACAGCAACAACGCGCCACATAACGCGCGATTTGGCGGTTTCATGCTCGAAATAGGAAGCTTCGATAATGAGGTGTTCAGCCTAAGCGCGGTTGAGACGAAATTTATCGACCCACAACATTGTAAACTACTAGAGCTAGCGTGTACGACGTTGTTTGCCGATATATGCAATTCTCGTGGTGCGGCTCGTGATACTAACGAATGTCTTTGCAATGCTGTACACCAAAATACTTTCGAAAGTACTAGCGTAGCCGTTGGCATCTCTGGCACAGAATATGCCCAAATTGTCGCGACTAGCACCTCTGCAGAGGGGCCATCACCGTACATGGCAATAGGCGGATTCATGTCTGTCGCATGCGGTCGCATATCCTTCGCTTTCGGCTGGCATGGACCGAGTTTTTGCGTGGACACTGCTTGCTCCTCTGCGCTTGTTGCGGTACACATCACATGCAATGACCTAAAATCACATTCGAATTGCGCATGTGATGGCTTAATGCATTCGACAAGAGCATTGTGTGCTGGAGCAAACATAACATTGCTGCCAACTACGACCGCTATGTTCTCTGTTGCTGGTATGCTAGCTTGGGACGGAAGATGCAAGACGTTGGATTCAACAGCAAATGGATATGTCCGAGCTGAAGTCGTGGTTACATGCATGCTAAATCGACACGCGAGATCAATTACAGAGCTTGGGTGTAATCAGAATAGAGGAAGTGATATTCTCATCCCTGGATCAGCAGTAAATCAGGATGGTCGATCCAGTTCGCTGACTGCTCCGAATGGTCCATCACAAAGGCGAGTCATGCAATCAGCTATGTCAAACACCGACTTTGTCGGAAGCTGTATGTCTTTACTTCAGTTACATGGCACTGGGACATCTTTAGGCGATCCAATTGAGATCGGAGCTGCATCAGCAGCGCTTGTCGGAGATTTCGTGCGCAAGAAAGGTGCTTTGCCATTAGCACTTGGAGCACCAAAAAGTAGAATTGGGCATGCTGAGCCTGCATCTGGAGCAGTCGGTATACTCTTTGCTTCGATGGGATACAATGCCGAGGTACGTCCGACGATGCATCTTCGGTCGATGAACCCTCATCTAGATGTCGTAATGCGTAAGTATGCTGCATCAATGTGTGCACCGCGGCAGGCATGCTCCTCTTCGGCTAGTAGCAGTATCACTGGGACTAGTGCATTTGCATTTCAGGGCACAAACTCGCACGTTATAAATTGCAATCGGTCTAATAAGGACCTGAGCTGCATGGAATTCGACAACTCTGCACCCACGTTTCTGATGATCTGGAACCGCAGACGTCGTTGGATTATAAACCGAGGACATCCAATGATAGAGTTTGCTCGAGTATCTCTTCAAAATTATCCGAATGTCAATTGCATAGCTGCATTCGAGATTCGCATTTGCGGTGTTGCAAGTCTAGCTCATCTAGCAGACCATCGCGTGATTGGTCACGAATTGTTCCCGGCAGCAGGTTTTATGGAGCTTGCAACTGCATCATCGCGTGGATCGGCAAACGTAACCAAGACAGAAACTCAATTCAATGCACTCTGCACTATCAATATTTCATCCCCCCTTATAATGAGAGACGGTGAAAACACATCATGCAATGTAAAAGTCGATGGTCTCTCTGGTGTGATATCTATCGATTCGCTAACATCACGATCGGGAAAACAATTACTAACGAATACTCATGTAAAATGCCAAACTAGATTAGTAATAGCAAGACAAGATGGATCGGACAAAAGAATGAAATTCCCAATTATTATATGCAGTCAAAACGCTCAGTACAGATTCATGGTAGATGAGGCAAAGGGATCCGTAGCATACGGTCGCTTGATGTATGATACATACGCCGGCGGAGGTCAAAATTCTGAATTTTATTTGTCGCCTCCGACCCTTGATGCTATGTTACAATTAGGTGGACCAGCTCGTCTTCCGGATCATTATAAATCAACAGTCATCACACGAGTTCCAGTAAACATTGCCTTTTATCGTGCCCCATGCGAAAAAAGTGATGTCAGTGCTTGGTGTGTTGCACGAGGATGGCAAGGGAATGCCGGTAGCACTGACAATTGTTCGTTTTCTGATCATATCAAAGGTTGTAATAGTGGTATTAGTACACAGTTGGCCACGCTTTTTGACCTAGAAATGCGTCCAGTGCATCGCATCAGCGAAAAAAATGCAAATACATTTGTAAATCTTGTTGAGCCAAAAGCAGTACGACAAATCTTTTATCGGTCGACAGTCTTGACGACAACAAAAGCAACACCCCGTTCGAAAACAACGTTGGTATTCGATTCTTCTGCTGCTAAGCGTCTAGGCGCAGCCTCGTTCGCACTATTACAGTCAAATTCATATTGCCATCGAGAAGGAGGAGTTAAACTTGGCGCTTGCAGTGCAGATATTGTTGATTCTATCGCCATGAGTGTGGCTCTTGAGAGTGGCAATATAGTTGGGGAGTTGTGTAGTCGTGATGATCGTGGATTCGTGTCACAATCGCGTGTTGAACGCGCTTGCTTCGTTGGCAAATCTAGAATTGTACGTGCTGCCAATAAAAGGAAGCGAATTTCAATCATAAGCGGTGGCCTTGGCAGTATAGGTGTAATTGCAGCAGCAGCAAGGTTCCGAGCTGGTGTTGATAAGGTCATTCTTTTGGGCCGTTCTGGCCGAGAGGCAACTCTGGATCTAAGTGGCCTATCTGGTGACAATTACGGGATAGTTTCCGTCTATCTTTGTGACATCAGCATCCGTGACGATTCAAAGTTGGTAAGCAGAAGTTGCATGTCTGGTACATTTAAAGATAACTTCGCCATACATTCAAATGGAATGACACAGACAAGATGTCCTTTCTTCGAATGGATCCATGCAAGCGGTGCACTGTGTGACGCTGTCATTGATAATCAAAGTGTTGGCAGCCTGGCAAAGGTCATGGGCCCAAAAAAAAGTGATGGCATCGCACAACTAAATGCCAACATGAACCTTCTTCCTTTGGTTAATTCAATACTTTTCTCATCCATCGCCGCGTTGATCGGGTCAGTCGGTCAGGCAAACTATGTCGTTGCAAATAAGAGGTTAGACACATTTGCCATAGTTGAACGACGTCGTGGCAATCCAACCACTGCCATTCAGTGGGGGGCTTGGGGCAATGGTGTTGGTGGCATGGCATCGGGTGACTCGAACACTGTCTTGAGGATGCAACGCATTGGCGTAGGTGCATTAAGGCCGGAGGAAGGGATTTTAGCTTTAATGGTTTTGTCGCAGCCACCATGGGATGCAACCGTTATGGTAAATCATTTTAATTGGGAAAAGTTTGAAAAAACTACAATGATGTCCCACTTGACCTTAAACACGACACAGTTCGAAGATTTTTTTGTGCACGGAGGACGAGAACTCGCCAGAGTTGATGACAACCTCAAACTCGACCCGGGTTTAGGTGTACTGGAGAGATCCAATCTTACAAATGTATTAAACAGTGTCAAAGCTGTCGTGCTAACTCTTCTCAACGGTGCAAAAGATGATATTGGAGATGCAGATCCGTTAATGGACAGCGGAATAGACTCTCTAGGCGCGGTCGAGCTGCGACAAGCACTCGCAGCACGATTTGACATGGTTTTGCCACCAACACTTATATTCGATTACCCTTCAATCGGAGCACTGGCAAAATTCCTATATGAGAGCAAAGTGCCAGCCGAAAGTCATGGGGTTCAAAAAATATTTCCACAACGATTGGAAGGACATTCAACGGATATTCCCATGTCTGAATCTCACGCCGTTGAGATCTCATGCATTGCGTGCGAATATCCTCGTGGGATTACGAACTTATCTGACCTGGTCAAAGCATTTTTGCGCGGTGTTGAATTCCAAGAAATTATGTCCAATGAGCGTTTCGATCCAGAAACTCTCGGTGGAGGCGTACGCACAGCCACAATACTAGATGACATTGATGCATTCGACGCGGAGATGTTTAGAATAGTCGATGCCGAAGCTGTAGCGATGGATCCTCAGCAACGGAAGCTTTTAGATATTTCCCTGAGAATTCTTACTTCTTCACCGATCGGAACGGTCGAAGCGGCAGTCGGGAGCAACACGGCCGTTTATCTGGGCGTGATGTGGACCGAGTATCAGCAACTATTGGTAGATGTAGGGGCACCTCAAAATGTGAGTATTATGATTTACTTTTTCAACCCAACTTTAATAACTCTAATAAAACTTTTTTTTGAAGGCATACACTGGGACAGGGAACGGTCTTTCCTTTCTTGTTGGTCGTCCATCGTTCATGTTCGGTTTCGTTGGCCCTAGTGTTGTACTTGACACAGCATGTTCATCATCTCTTGTGGCGGTACATCTCGCTCAGCATGCAACGGCGCGGGTCGAAGCTGTCTCAGCTTACGCCGCGGGGGTCCAGTGCACACTTTTGTCAGGTACTTTTTCGGTACTCAATAATCTGAATGCACTCTCACCAGATGGAAGATGCAAGACGTTTGACATTGCTGCGGATGGCTACGGCCGTGGAGAGGCTCACGCGGCAATTTATACACGTCTATTCAATCAAAGCACCTCACAAGTGAGCAAAATATCGACAAATGCCTTCATTACGTTAAGCGGTTCATCAGTGAACCAAGACGGGCGGGCTTCCACGTTTACTGCACCATTTGGCCCATCGCAACAAGTCCTCGCATTGAAAGCTTTAGCAGAGGCTGCGATAGAGCCGAATGATATTCGATATGTATCCACGCACGGCACAGGGACATCACTAGGTGATCCTATAGAGATTTCAGCAGCGTGGCGCACATTGAAACTTGGACGATCTGGTGCGTGCATTCAATCAATGGTTACTACTGTTGGTGCGAATAAGTCATTCCTCGGTCATACTGAGGGTTCCGCCGGAATATCGGGTTTGTTAATGGCAGTTTGCGTGGCCTCAAATTTTGGCTTCCCTGCACTGCGTCATTGTTACAACCTGAATCCATATATTTCCTCGTCGCTTGACTCCTTATCAGGAAAACTTAGCAAAATGAAGAGCCTTGACTTCGCAATGCCAAGGTCGGCGACCACAGTGATGGCCGTAGACAAGGAGGTAGTGATCTCGAATGCAACAAGTACGAGTTCTTTTGGTATGAGTGGTGTTAATGCACATGCCGTCATCGAAGCTTCAATGAGTAACGAAATTGGTGTCACTCGAGTTGCAGGACGGCTAATCGTTACAAACCAAAAACGTTGTTGGTGTACCCCTTTGACATGCCGTTTCATCCAATTTGTCTCCTCTGTGACAGATTCGACGGCAGTGTTCCACTCAATGTTGACGAAAGCAAGGTTAAGTTTTCTATGGGACCATGTCATCCGCAGATCAACGTTGTTGCCAGGTGCAGCATCAATGGAAGCTTCACATGCTGCTCTTCGTGTTGATCTAGTGTCACCTGATTTCATATTGTCGAATATATCGTTTTCTCGGCCATGTATTTTGCCATCCGACATGCAAGACTACACGGTACTGGCAATCACAAAGATTGCAAGTGGCGTGATCAACATATGTAAGACGTCAGAATGTTCGCCGATGCCAAGGAATGAGGTAATCATGCATGCCTCATCTTCCAGTATTCTCCGCCGATCGAAATCACTTATCTTTGGTATAGCTGATGGATGTGATTCTTTGAATGACTATGATTCTGCCCTAGATTTTGTATTCGTTCCTATTGACAGACAATTTGATGATGTCGTGGCCGTTTCAACTGTTGCCGCTGCATCACGTGGCGAACTAAATCGTGTATCATCGACAATGGAGGATTTTGCGGTGCATCCTGCTATGGTTGATGCCTCAATGCATTCAATGGCGGTCCGAGAGGATGGAAACACTAAAAACAAATTACTGACGGCGCCGCAACTTCCTGTGGGTGCACGAGCATATTTTGTCTCAATGGTTGCAAACAACGACATCGATGGCAATGCCATGGTGTATCGTAATCGTCTTGATACGATGACAACGCCGTCTACGAGCGAGCATCGTCTCGCACTCGCCACTTTTTGCAGCTCTGGGGTCCACTTACTTGAAACGAAATCTGTTGTTGGCGATGCCTTTTCAATCAAAAAAATAAAGGCAACCAACACTATAGAAAATCACGCTGCCAATACTGTGACGACCACGGGCAGTAGTCACGGACCTGATAGCGACGAAATTTTGTTTGATGTTGGGTGGTACGCTGACTTAAGATCTCCGAATATATGTTTCAATGACGTTTTGTCAAATCAAAGCATTTACCATTCAGGAACCACCACCAATACAACTTCAAAGCTAGGTAGCTTAGCCTCGCGTCCAGCAGCTGCCGCTATCACATTAATGCAGGGCAGCTCTCACGTAGCAAACATAGTGTGTGCACGGCTCACAGGTGGAACGTTTCCAACTGGAGCGGCCATCACGTCGACCGTGTCAGCTCCTGTGCTTGGGATCATGCGCACCGCTGCTGCAGAGCTACCAGATCTTGTTTTTGACGTGATGGATAGTTCACATTTCGTCTCAAAGAGCGTACATCATAACTATGTACACAATCGGATCGATGGAATCCCAGTCAACACAGGTTCACAAGGTGTTTCGTTGACGGGGAGCACACTTTTTAATCCGCGCTTACGACGATCGAGCCGATGTCTTGGTCAAGGTGCAGTTAAACTCACTCCACAACCCCGTGGTGCCCTTGCAGATCTACGCCTAACGAAATGGGCAGGTGACTTTGCTGCCAGCGCTGATGTATGTCATGGTGCAGAACCGCGCGAAAATAATCCTTTTATTATTGTACGTGTTGAAGCTGTTGGCTTAAATTTCCGAGATGTATTGAACGTCCTTGGAATGTATCCTGGTGATCCTGGGGCACTTGGATCAGATTATGCTGGTGTCGTCCTAGGTGGTGCAAACCATTTTGGTCGTTCTGTGTTTACACCTGGGACAGAAGTTTTTGGCCTCGCACCCGGATGCCTCGGTACGCGAGTAGTTGCAAGCGCACTTACAGCAGTAGAAAAACCCCCATCAGTCGGTTTCGCTGATGCAGCAGGTTGTCCAACGATATTTGTGACTGTTGATTTGGCCTTATTAGAGGCATCTCCACAGGATGGTGTCGCACCAAAGTCAGTGCTTGTGCATTCAGCCACAGGTGGTGTTGGCCTTGCTGCATGTCAGATTCTTGCGGCTCGGCGAATTAAGACAATCGTGACTGCCGGGAGTACAAAGAAACGTGCATTGTTAAGGTCGTCGGGCTTGCAAAACATCGCAGACTCGCGATCAACAGCCTTTGTCGAAACATTATTGGCAAGTCATGGTGGACCAGTGGACCTAATCATCAACTCGTTGACCTCCTCAGGGATGGTAAGTGCATCACTTTCTTCGCTTCGGAAGAGGGGTGGATTTGCAGAGATCAGCAAGAGAGGCATATGGTCCGTCCCTGCTGCGATGGCTGACCATCCTAGTGTGAACTACAAATTAGTTGCGACAGATTTCCTTAATCTGCATGAATTAAATATGTTTTTAGGACATCTTGCAGCACGTCTTAACGACGGAACTTTAAAACCGATTTATTCGCAACAAAGTGGCCTAGTTGCAGTACGTGAGTGCATGAGAGAGATGTCAGGAGGTCACCATATTGGAAAAATAATTGTATGCGCACCTTCAGAACCTCCAACCAATGATATTAATGCAGCTGTCATTATCACTGGCGGGACAGGCGCAATAGGTGGAGATGTCGCTGGATGGGCGCATCAGCAAGGATCAAGGCGGGTGACTCTTCTTGGTCGCTCTGGTCGTACTAGCATCGAACCTGGAGGTACGGCATTGCTTGTTGACTCTGTAGCAACAGTCAACATAGCACGTATGGACACATCGAATTCCGAAGAAGGAAATTTCGCAGTGGAGAATGTCCCAGGAGATGCACCACGGGCCGGATCGATTTTACATGCAAGCGGTGTCCTATCTGATGCAACGATGTCAAAACAGAACGCCGGAGGAATGATGATGGTCACCGCTCCTAAGGTGAGCGGTCTAAAATGTATCCAGTCGTATTCGCAAAACAATGCGTGTGGTCACTCCTTTCTCTTCTCTTCAATTGCTTCCATGCTTGGCTCGGCAGGACAGGCAAACTATGTGGCAGCAAACAGTTATCTGGATGAATGGGCAACAGCATCAACAATGAGGGGTATGAGTGCAATCAGTGTGCAGTGGGGTGCATGGAGGGGAAGAGGCGGTATGGCAGTAAACGAAGCCGGCACCGTTGCGCGGATGGAGCGTCTTGGGGTGGGTTCAGTTGTCCCTGAACAAGGACTTGCAGTATTAGAGGGCATACTGCATGGAATGGGCAAACGGACCTCAGAAGATAATATGCAACCGATAGTAGCTGCTAGCGCATTTACTTGGGACTTACTTCTAGAACGAATGAGTCCGGTCCCACCCTTTTTTGACTGGGTTGAGAGCAAGCCCAGAAGTAAAATCCCAAAACCTATCAAATCGGTGAATCGGAAAAGAAATCCCCGTGAGGTTTCGAATTTGAGTAGAATATCCAGTTACAATGCTGCAGTGATGGTAAAAGATGCTGTGGCAAATATACTTGCTGAAGAAGTACTTAATGACGAACCATTAGTGGACGCAGGCTTAGACTCACTCGCAGCTGTGGAGCTTCGAAATTCGATAGCAACATCTACGGGGCTCGATCTTCCGGCTACGTTGGCATTTGATTACCCAACTATCAATGACATCGTAGAGTTCTTGACATCCGTGTTAGGTTCTGAAATTAGAGATCCCCACAAAAAGCAAGAAGAAAAAATATTGTTATCTGAACAAGCGATAATTAATAAGAAAGATGTTCTGGGTCGAAAAGCCATGGAAAACAACATTGGTGTTCTCGGCACGTCCAGCCGGACGGCATACGATACGCTCTGCACTCGTAACGCAGTGGACACCATCGCGTGCGTACCACTCGCACGATGGTGCCTCGACGTACCTGGTGATACAACGAATTTGGGGGCACGTTTTGGCAGCTTTGTCAGCAGTGTGGACCAGTTCGACTTCGATCTTTTCAACGTGTCCTTCACCGAGGGTGTGTTGCTGGATCCTCAACAACGCATGCTCTTAGAAGCAACGTGGGAGGCCACGACTGACGCATGCCGCGCCAAGGCGCCTGTACAGTCGGGTGTTACTGTTGGTATCTCTGGCAGTGAATATGGCAGAATGGCCGACAACGTCAGTGCGTATACCGCGACTGGTGGCGCTCTCAGCGTCGCTTGCGGGCGCATTTCGTACACGTTCGGCATGCAAGGCATATGCATGTCCGTTGACACGGCGTGCTCGTCGTCGCTAGTGGGCTCACATATCGCAATCACAAGTATTGTCATAGGCGAGTCTGATTCCGTTGCCGCGGGTGGTGTGAACGTAACGCTCAATCCGATGACGAGTGAGATGTTCAGCAAAGCCGGCATGTTGTCAAGAGACGGCCGCTGCAAGACCCTCGACTCGAGCGCGGATGGCTACGTGCGTGGCGAGGCGTGCGTGGTATTCGAGATTTGCTCTCTGACGATCATGAAGACGTCATTGGAACTTCATTCAAGCACCTTGGTCGCGTCGGCAGTGAACCAAGATGGCCGCTCAAGCTCCCTCACCGCCCCTAACGGACCCTCGCAACAGCGTGTTATTCGCAGCTGTCTAGGGTCTGCTAAAACGGATCCAGGTGCGGTCGACGGTCTCGAGATGCACGGAACCGGCACGCCACTTGGCGATCCAATCGAAGTGGGCGCTGCCCACGCAGTGCTCGTGGAACACACACACGATTCGCGGCTCACGGCGCTTGTTCTTTCGGCCATGAAGTCTTGCATGGGCCACACCGAGCCCGCTGCAGGTGCAGTCGGCCTTGTAAACGCCGTGATCGGTGTTGGGTGCAGCCTCGTACGACCCATCGTCCATCTGACTGGCATCAACCCACATCTTTACAACATAGCGCACAACTCTGGATGCGGTTTGACAAAGGCCATGGCACTTCCAAGACAACAAGTTGCGACCATCGTTGCCGCGCATGACTGGCCCCTGCACCGTGGGGTCAGCTCGTTTGCGTTCCAAGGTACGAATGCGCATGTGCTGATTGCGGCACCTGTCTCATCGAGTGCGGGAGTCGCGCATCGTGGCCGATCCTCGACATGGCATCGCATGCGACTTTGGATTATGTTGGTGCGACATCCGATGCTTCAAAGTGCTACTGTCGACCTATTTTCATCTTCTGTACACTACGAAGCATGCATCGCATGCAACCGACAGGTCTACTTGTGGGATCACAGGGTCTTAGATAAAGGACTATTTCCAGCTTCTGCATTCCTCGAGGTTGGCTTATCCGCGGTATGGCTCCTTGCGGACGCGGCGACTGCATTGTGCGACGCCGTGATAACAGCTCCGATGGTCCTTCAGAATGGCATCGCGCCGTCTACCGTGGTGTGCTCTATCAACATGCTAGCATGCGACGTTCGACTTCGCTCCGCCTCAAATGAGCGACCCCACTTCACATCCACTTGGAGTTCGATGCACGAGCAACGCACTCAATTTGTCCACACCGTGACACGTGCGTTAGCTCTTTGTCACAGAAGGACACGTGGGGCACCCGCATTTTCATCGCTTGGTGTTATTTCACACGGTTCCAGCATTCCGGGGGACGACTGTTGCAGCAGCGAGAGCTCGGGTATTGTTGTCCTTCCTGCCGTTCTCGATGCAAACTTCCAGCTCGCTTGCGCCTCTGAAAGTGATTCCGACTCTTCGAAATTGCGCATTCCTGCGGGTGTCGGTGCCTTTTGGGTGGCGAATACATCTTCAGCGCGTGCTGTTTGGGCCAAGGTCATGTCCCGACCCGCCGACCTTTCCGATCACTATATGTATGCAGAAAGTAGTTGCACTACCAGTCTCATTGGTCTCGAGGTCAAGCCAGCGCGGGCATCGAGAGTTGAGCGCGTAAAATCTACCATTGCAACTTCAAGACTCACGCATGGTATGATGTACGAGGTTGCATGGCTCACGCGAGCTTCGAGTGATGGTCCGGAGAAGGACGCGTATTCATATAATGCCATCTCGCTTTCAGCATCACGGCATCAGCCTTGTCGAAATGCACTGAATAGTATTCAAGCTGCGCAACTTGCAGCCGTATCAAAGATATCGAAAATGGCAGTACAAACAGCAGGGTCTGTAAGTAGGGCGACCACGCGTACCAGTGGGGCGGAAGTGTGGGCCGTCATGCGTTGTGCGGCGCCAGAACTGCAGGCGAGTACTGCGATCCTAGGGTGTGACCGCGATCCTGCGGGTGTGAGCATTACGTTGCCTGTGCAAGCGCGCACACACGGCGCTCAAGGTATTACGATGCGCGGTGGATCCATCTCAACTCCTGTGTTGATTCCCTGGTCGACGAATCCAGACACTGGGGTGATTCAAGATTTCTTCACGAATGCTCTGGGGTCACTGATGTGTGATGCCAATGGTTTTTCAGAACTCTTGTACAAAATCATCACGCGCATCCGTGTCCGTTCAATTGTATCAGAAGGTGCAACAATGGTGACAGGAGGCCTCGGAGGCCTCGGTCAGCTGGTAGCTGCCGCAGATGCACGTTCTGGTACCACGCACATCACTTTGCTTGGACGATCTGGTAAGACGCATATCATGGATCACATGCTGGTCATGAGTGCTACGTGTGTAGTTATGACGCGCGGGGATGTTTCCACTGCCGAAGAAGTGGTATCATCCGCTCGTGCTTCAATAGCGCCGGTGCGGTGCATGCTTCATGCCAGCGGCCTCCTTCGTGACGCCATGATCCATAACCAAAGTGTGGGTGCCGTAGCTGCGGTAATGGCTCCAAAGTGCGCTGGAATTGTGCAGTTCGATTCTGAGACCTTAGCCCGCGACATGCGGATGACCGTGGTGTTTTCCTCGGTCGCCTCACTTCTCGGCTCTGGTGGCCAGGCCAACTATTGTGCTGCAAATGGATGGCTCGATGCTCATGCGCGCGTTGCAACTATGCAAGGCCGCAACGAAACCAGTATACAATGGGGAGCATGGAGCGGTGGTCGAGGCATGGCCGCGATTGACAATAATACCGTTCACCGCATGGAGCGTCTTGGAGTCGGCGTCATCACGCCCGAGCAGGGTCTAAGCACGTTGCGTGCCATCAAAAACTCCGGCGGGCATCCTGTAGTGTCTGCAAATCCGTTCACATGGGATCGGTTTTTGCGCACCATGGATCCCATTCCACCGTTCTTCGGCGCGTTTGCACACCTTGCACCGCGTGAGCTAGTGGCAGATTATGTTGCTGCTGACATCAAAATTAGGCGCCTTGACGTTGACAACACCATGGAGGCTTCTGTGGTCGAGGCAAAAGTTACCGACTGCGTGCGAGATATTTTGGGCACCAGTGTTGCTGTCAATGAGCCCCTCACTGACGCAGGCCTCGATTCGCTTGGGGCCGTTGAGCTACGAGATGCCATAAATGCATCTCTTGGCGTTCAACTTCCGAGCACCGTGGTGTTTGATTATCCATCTGTCGGTGCCATGTCTGGCTACATCACGTCGAAAATGCATCCGGGCGTTGATGATGCAGAGGACTGTGTCATTGATAAACATAAAATCGCCAGCGGTGTACAACGAGCGATCATCGGTGTTCTCGGCACGTCCAGCCGGACGGCATACGATACGCTCTGCACTCGTAACGCCGTGGACACCATCGCGTGCGTACCACTCGCAAGATGGTGCCTCGACGTACCTGGTGATACAACGAATTTGGGGGCACGTTTTGGTAGCTTTGTCAGCAGTGTGGACCAGTTCGACTTCGATCTTTTCAACGTGTCCTTCACCGAGGGTGTGTTGCTGGATCCTCAACAACGCATGCTCTTAGAAGCAACATGGGAGGCCACGACCGACGCATGCCGCGCCAAGGCGCCTGTACAGTCGGGTGTTACTGTTGGTATCTCTGGCAGTGAATATGGCAGAATGGCCGACAACGTCAGTGCGTATACCGCGACTGGTGGCGCTCTCAGCGTCGCTTGCGGGCGCATTTCGTACACGTTCGGCATGCAAGGCATATGCATGTCCGTTGACACGGCGTGCTCGTCGTCGCTAGTGGGCTCACATATCGCAATCACAAGTATTGTCGT